TTCATTTATTCTTACAATACGTAAACTATCTGAAATTCTTTTGAGTATGAGTTAAATTGCCACACTGAACAGATTCAGGCTTCTAGATGTAGACCACTTGCGTATGTACTGAAATATGATTACAGAGTTCTGAATCATAGGGAGGAAACACCAGTCAGGAGATACGATGGGAAGCTGGACATGGGATACCGCGACATCTGCCTTCCATTGGTAAACCTGAAGGGAACACCCAGCAAAATTCTGCAACATTTCACAGTTTACTTTGTGAGAAAGTAAGATCATTGCATGGTGGGATAGACTTATTCAGGCACTAACCTTGTTCCACCCCAAGCCCTGCCTTTTTTTGTTGTTTATTTTTGGCTGCATTGGGTCTTCGTTGCTGTGCGCGGGCTTTCTCTGGTTGCAGCAAGCAGGGGCTACTCTTCGTTGCGGTGCGCGGGCTTCTCATTGCGGTGGCTTCTCGTTGCGGAGCACGGGCTTTAGGTGCTTGGGCTTCAGTAGTTGTGGCACGTGGGCTCAGTAGTTGGGGCTCGCGGGCTCTAGAGCGCAGGCTCAGTAGTTGTGGTGCACGGGCTTCGTTGCTTCGCGGCGTGTGGGATCTTCCCGGATGAGGGCTCGAACCCGTGTCCCCTGCGTTGGCAGGCGGATTCTTAACCACTGTGCCACCAGGGAAGCCCCCCTGCCCTTTTTTGGATGGGAGGGAAAGGAGGTTGAGGCCAGAGAAGAAGTTCTGAATCTAGGTCTGCCACTGACAAGCTGAACTGAAACTGACGAGTTAAGTTTTTCTGAACCTTAGTTTGTTTATAATACAGGGGATAGACCAGGAAATCTCTTAAAACTGGTTTGCACTTCAAAACAATTTGAGTTACTGCTGCCACTGGTCAAAAATGTTTTTGAAACTTTGGGGAACAGCTTCCCTATCCAGTTTTATGAAGGTTTCAAGAAAAAAAAAAAGTGTGAACTTCAGAGCCACATTTCGTTTTGAAACAGGTATGACAGTACCTAGCTTAATTCGTGTCAGTTTCTTAACCTCAAGTGACTTGGCTATTTCTAAAACTAAAATCTTCCTCGGCAGGAAACCTGTCTCTATTAAACATGTTTTAAAATTTTAGGTTCTGCTCCAAGAAGCAATTCAAAAATATTTTTTGAACGATGGTAGCATTGGTGGCATTAATATATAGCTTCCCGAAATTTTAAGGGACAAGGCACATTAACACAGTGTACTGTTTCATAAGACTTTAAAAGATTCATCCTAATTAAAGAGATATTAAATATGAGAAAAAGGCTTTAGAATCAATGAAATATACAGTATGTAGGTTTTTCTTTTCTTTTTTTTTTTTTTTTGCGGTACGCGGGCCTCTCACTGTTGTGGCCTCTCCCGTTGCGGAGCACAAGCTCCGGACACGCAGGCTCAGCGGCCATGGCTCACGGGCCCAGCCGCTCCGCGGCATGTGGGATCCTCCCGGACCGGGGCACGAACCCGCGTCCCCTGCATCGGCAGGCGGACTCTCAACCACTGCGCCACCAGGGAAGTCCAGTATGTAGGTTTTTTAAAAGCCATGTGTAATAGTTAATAGGTGTAGCTCAAACTACCTTTTTTCTATTGAACATTTTAGAAAAGCTTAGATTAAGACAGATCTCTAAGTGTAAAACTTTGCTTACTGCATCTGGATGGCAGCGGTTCCCAAACCTGGCTGCGTGGTGAAATCACACTGAGATATTTTTTAAAATACTGATGCCCGGCTCCCATTCCCACACACTGTAATTTTCTTTTTAATTAATTATTTATTTTTGGCTGCGTTGGGTCTTCGTTGCTGCGCGCGGGCTTTTCTCTAGTTACAGCGAGTGGGGGCTACTCTTCGTTGCAGTGCGCGGGCTTCTCATTGCGGTGGCTTCTCTCGTTGCGGAGCACGGGCTCTAGGCGCGCAGGCTTCAGTAGTTATAGCACGCAGGCTCCGTAGTTGTGGCGCACGGGCTCTAGAGCACAGGCTCAGTAGTTGTGGCGCCCAGGCTTAGCTGCTCCGTGGCATGTGGGATCTTCCCGGACCGGGGCTCGAACCCGTGTCCCCGGCATTGGCAGGCGGATTCTTAACCACTGTGCCACCAGGGAAGCCCCACACGTTGTAATTTAACTGGTATGGGATGTGACCTGCGCAACAGGATTTTAAAATCTTCCCAGGTGATCTAATGTGCAGCGAAGTTACCACAGTATTCCAGTGATTTCATGTCCTACGATCCAAATAATTTGCAGATTCTGTAAAACAGTTTAGTATCCACCTTTTACGACAGTATCACGTCATTAAAATCTTTTAGACAAAATTTTCTAAAAGTTAAACATACAACGGGATGGGAGGAAACGATATTCTGGGAGAAGACAACTCTGCCCTTAGTTTACAGTCTATTTACAGTTTGGTTTTGACATGGAGTATTTTGCATTAAATACTCATGTTTTGTTCGTACGTTCTCACTTGGGAAGTTGTAATGTATCTTTTATAAGTCCTGAACCCCCAGCATAACTGCTGAGGTGCAGTGTTAAAAAAGATAGTTATGGATGCGTAAAAAGTGAAGTAGATTCGTGTCCAGTCAGATGCAGCATACCTCGGAGACACTGGGGGTTCAGCTCCAGACCACCAGAACGAGTATCGCAAGAAAGCAAGACATGAATGTTTGGTGTCCCGGTGCACGTAAAAGTGACGATACTATAGTCTACTAAGTGTGCGATAACATTATGTCCCAAAAAAAAGCAGTGTATATACCTTAATTGAAAAATACTTTATTGCTAAAAAAATCTAGCCATCCTCTGACCCTTCAGTAAGCCATAATCTTTTTTGGAGGGTTTGAAATACCGTGAGCGTTGCCAAAGACACAGACACGAAGTGAGCAAATGCTTTTGGAATAAGGGCGCCGATAGACTGGCTCGACAGCAGTGTTGCCGCAGACCTTCCATTTGTATAAAACGAAGCATCTGCAGAGTGCAGCACAGTAAAAGGAAGTATGCCCATGAGTCTTCCTGCTGCACTTGTTTTTCAGAGGTTTCTGGTGTGATGCAGGAGGCGAGTCAGTGCACTTGCAAACGGGGAAGCGTATCTTATTCTCATAAGGACTGGCGGCACTGTGCACCGAGTCCGCACAGAATAGGTTACAACTGTGGAGGACAACGATATAACCGAGGGACTAAAGGACAGATGAACCACAACCACAAAGGACCTGCACTGTGAACTTGCAGTGTTGGCTGTGGAACTAAAAGTAGGGTTCCTCTTGCCTCCCAAAAATATGCTCTGTGATGCCCTCCCATAAGATAGACCGGGGGGCTGAAAGGATCACGGGATGCTTTGTGCGTAAAAGCCCGAATTTTGTTTCTGTTATCGTTAAACATGACTTGTTCGTATACAGTGATCAGAGACGCACTCTCTGAAGCATGCCAGGTGTCAGAGGCGAGTGGCTGGTAACGAACCAGGCGCCGTTGTCCCTTACATCCTGGTTTCACGGCCAACCCCTTACTGGAGCTGCCCCTCTCTTGTCGCTGTATCAATGTTGGTGGCTTCTTATTTGCTTGGCCCTTCCTGGTACACGTGATACCGTTGCCCACCGTTATCTTGACCTCAGCTGTCCTGTTAACCATGAATAGTCCCTGGTCTCCATTGCTGGGTTACTCTTCCTCTCCCCTAGCCCGTGTTGTCTTTCTTTATATACTTGATGCTTTTCAATGTTTTACTCAGAATTCACTCAGAGTTAAGACCACTCCCCACCCTGAATGGTTTCCAAGCCTATTTATTTCAGAAATATTTTGATGTCTGTCACCTCCAACTCAAACCTAGGTGAAGGAAGGAAAAGCGGTCCAGAGAGAAGCCATCAGTGGCATGGCCCAACGAGGTATGGGTGCCTAAAATATTTGGGAAAAATACATGTCAATATGTCCGTGGCCCGGAGATGCCCCAAAACGGGGGTGGCCAGAGAGTAAGGCTTGGGAACGTAGGCAGGTGCTGGGTCAAAGGACTTTATTAATAAAGAGTTTTATGCTTTGGATATTTATCCTTTAGCAAGAGATGCCGCTGAAGCATTTAAAGCAGTCGCAAGGAAGTGACGGAAGTACACATTTTAGAAAGCTCTCATCTGGTAGCACGGGAGACGGACTACAGAGAGGCTTGAGAAGACAAAGCAGTAAGGTAGGGAGGATGGGAAAGGAAGCTGTTTAGAAGGTACCATCAACAGGACTTGGTAAGAGACTGGATATAGGAAGCAAAGGGTCTAGAACGGCCTTCACGCGGTGTCATTTGTTAAGCTCAGAGGAATAGATTTTCGAGAGAGGAGAGTTCCATTGGACACTCAGGAGGAAACAGCCGGCAGGTAATTAAACCCATCTTTCAGTCTAGCCTAGAACAATAGATTTGGTAGTAAAAACCACGTGCGTGGATGAGGTTATCTAACAGTTATGTTGAAGCAAAATCGTAATAGTAAATATAACTACTCTACGAGGAAAAGAGCCCCATGGTAAGTACTACCTTTGAATGGGAAAGCTGAAGGAAAACGAAGTGGACTAAGAAAGTAGAGTTGGTCAGGCAGGAAGTAAACCAGAAAGGAGGGTGTCACGGGAAATCAAAGGGGAATTTTAAGACGTAGGCTGATCACACGAAAAAAGCAAGCATCTGTGTGATGTGACTGTTGGGTTGCTGGAGACCCCAGTGGGAATTGTTTCTAAGCAGAACTGACTGCAAGCTTCTGAAGAATATGGGCAGTTGGAACAAGGCAACCAAGGAGGTGTGAAAGGGGAGAAGATGGCGAGTACAGGAGGGAGGCACACCTGCCTCCTTCCCGAGACGGCCGTTTGTTAAGGATGGAGGCTGGAATACGCAGATGCTCTTGCGGCAAGGGGTCCAGAAACGGAGTTCACAGCTCGTGACCTCAGTGTTCTCTCTGTAGAGGTATACTGGCCATTTGGTAAGCAGGGTGGTGGCGAAAAGGCTGGGACTGCTGCTGGAAGGCGACCCAAGGAATAAACG